CCCATTTATTGAGCGCTTACTATGTGCTGAACACTGTTCTAAGGACTTCTTGCATCCTCAAAACCTCTTTATAAAGGATAACGTGGAAATCCTTGTTCGATTCATAGCCTCCCTGCTTTTAACCCTGAGAGTGAGACTCACCAAACTGTTTCTCTGCTTCTTACCTCTCTTCAGCAGGGGCAATCAGAAATGTCTCCAATGCTCTCTGCTCTACCACACAGAGCAAAAGCCATGAGGCAGACTGACCTCTCCCATCCTAGAATTTTTTAAACTAGCAGAGTACTACCTGTACCCCATCCTGCCAGAGCAGAGAGAGGAGCTGTGCTTCCTCGAGATGGGGGCAGCCCCCTCCCGGGCTGTGCTGCCCACCCACAAACCATTTCATCACAGACCAAAGGCCCCTCCCTGAAGAGTTAGAAGGCTGCTGGAGAGACAGTAAGGTTTCCAGGGTGGGGGCTATGGCTGAGATGACTTAATGAAACAGCAGCTCTCTCCCAGCTCCAGATCAATCATCCCAATGATCCACACCCAGTCCCCCTACCTGATCAGAGGTCAAGCATCCCAATGATCCAGACCCAGTCCCCCTATCTGATCAGAGGTCAGGGCCAGGGGGAAACAATGGAGGTGGATTTGGATGAAAGTGGTATGGTTCCTTCAAGAAAAATCAAAAGGAAGAGGACACTAACCAGCTGACTTGACCCAACCAAGGAAGATAGGAGGCGATCCTTCCTTCGGGGCCATCTTGTCCTAAACCTTGCCTCCAAACTGAGGCCATGGGTCCATCCCAAAGGTTATGTGCAGGAGCCTGTTCTATTGTTATGCTCTCAGGCACCAGCACCTCCACAGACACTCTGCTACCCATCACCCTTTGCTCTATTTCAAGGAGCGCTACCCATCACCCTTTGCTCTATATCAAGGAGCGCTACCCATCACCCTTTGCTCTATATCAAGGAGCGCTACCCATCACCCTTTGCTCTATTTCAAGGAGGGCTGGGATCCCAACCCAAGCCTGAGGGTCAGAGAGAGCACAGCTGGGAGCCTCTCAACAGTCACCCTAGCCTCAGAGACCCTGGAAAGGGAGAGAAGGAACTACTGAACTCTCCAGGGAGTGTGCCTTCATGGGGCCCCGTGGGGAAGGAGAATCAGGACTTTGAGGGCTGCTGGGCAAGGAGACTCCTATACCCTCTCTAGAAGAAATGCCACCACATCTTCTGAAAGCACTGACAACAATCAGGGTGAAAAGTTTGATGGGGACAGTGTAATATGACCCCAAAACCAAGAGCTGGGGTTCTACTCCATGTAAGACATGGACTTTCTAACCCACAACGGAGCTAAGCATGCTATGGGGTGTGTGCGTGCATCTGTAGTCATTTCCTCGCCCCCCACCTGATAGAAAATGTTGGCAGATTCTAAATTACAAAGACTCATATTTACAAATGTCTGCCGTCTCCTCAACCCTACTGTGATGTGAGCAGTGCTTATCACAGCAGGGCACCAGCACCTCTCTCCTTCTTTCAGGGTGGCTGTGATATGTCTCAAATAAATTAAGGCTCCCATTTCTTTCTTTTTTTTTTTTTTTTGGAGACACAGTCTCACTCTGTTGCCCAGGCTGGAGTGCAGTGGCGCGATCTCGGCTCACTACTGCCTCCCCCTCCCAGGTTCAAGCGATTCTCCTGTCTCAGCCTCCTGAGTAGCTGGGACTACAGGTGTGTGCCACCACGTCCAGCTAATTTTTGTATTTTTAGTAGAGACGGGGTTTCACCATGTTGACCAGGATAGTCTTGATCTCAATCCACCCACCTCGGCCTCCCAAAGTGCTGGGATTACAGGCGTGAGCCACCGTGCCCGGCCAAGGCTCCCATTTCAATGGACTCATTTACCAGAAACAAACTACGTGTTTGATAACGTGTGTGCTGGCCCGTGTGAACCACCAGCTTCTTGGAAGGGGAAAGTAAGAGTGCATTGTTTTCAAACGAAAAAGACTAGAAAAGAAGGGAAGGCCTGTCTTCCTCCGGCTGTGGCAGTCCATCATGGAAAAGAAAGTTACACTGCCCTTCCCTCGGGGTGCTGCGTGACACACCTGCTGGAGAGGGCACGTCATGGGAGGGCAGGCAGGGGAAGCAGGCAGGAGATGCAACAAAGGAGAAAGAAGGGGACTTTCCAATTCGTCAGGACAGGGCTGATAGCAGGAACTCCATTTTTTAACCATCACTTCCCCACCTCCCCCAGAAAAGCTGGTAGTGGGATCTGCAATCCCCTCTCAGCACTCCTCCCCACCGGAGCCCTGTCTTGGCCCCCCACCAGCCCTCTGGATGAGGCCACAGAGGCCATTACCCTGCTTCGTTCCCAGAGTGTGGGTTCAGGCTGAGCTTGTGACCAGGGAAGACACAGGAACGGAAAGGACTTGTTCAGGTGACAGCCTAAACCCAGGACGGAGGCCAAGATTATTTCCCCACACCTCATACTACTATTTTGTGTGGGAGTTTACTGGAGGGGCAGGGAGGTGGGAGAGGTCAGTGGGGGGGCGTCTGTCGTCATTTCCAGCATTGTTCCCTTAAGAAAACCGTCAATCAACCACTCATGACAGCTTCGGGCAATCGTCCAATCCTATATTAGGAGTGACCCATACTGCACCAGTAACAGGGAAGAGAATCTAAGCGTCCCTCCTTTTTATTTGCATAAAATCTCCAGAAGGAACTGGTAGTATTTTACCTTAAAGAGGGAGCACTAGATAACTCATGGAGTGACTTTTGCACCATTTGAATATCGAGTCATGTGAACAGATAGTCTACTAAGAATATCCTTTAAAAAAAAACTCTTTTCTGAAGCCCCAGGCCAGGAAGTTAGGACACTGGTTCTATTCCCACCTCTGCCACTGTGGCTGCAACTTGGGGCACCTCATGTAGCCTCTCTAGGCAGTTTCCTCTACTGCAAAACCTGAATGGACTGAACAAGTGATCCATAAAGCCCCACTATGGACCCCAATTCCTGAGGAAACCCAATCCCCAGTGTGGCGATGAGGAGGCGGGGCCTTTGGGGAGGCAATTCGGCTGTGAAGGCGCAGCCCTCATGACTGGGATTAGCGCCCTCAGAAGGCGCGCTGAAGGAGCCAAGAGTCCTACACGTCTACTAGGCGAGGACGCAGAAGCTGCCCTCTAGGAACTAGAAACCACTCACCAGACAACAAATTTCTCAACACCTTGATCTTGGATTTTCAGCCTCCGGAACTGTGAGAAATAAATTGTTGTTGTTTAAAAGCTACCTGGTTGGGCCGGGCGCGGTGGCTCAAGCCTGTAATCCCAGCACTTTGGGAGGCCGAGACGGGTGGATCACGAGGTCAGGAGATCGAGACCATCCTGGCTAACATGGTGAAACCCCGTCTTTACTAAAAAATACAAAAAACTAGCCGGGCGTGGTGGCGGGCGCCTGTAGTCCCAGCTACTCGGGAGGCTGAGGCAGGAGAATGGCGTAAACCCCGGAGGCGGAGCTTGCACTGAACCGAGATCACGCCACTGCACTCCAGCCTGGGCGACAGAGCGAGACTCCGTCTCAAAAAAAAAAAAAAGCTACCTGGTTGATGGCATTTCGTCACAGCAGTCCAAACGGACTCAGTGGCCCCTTTCGCTCCAAACATCTGTGATTCTAGTCTCCCCAGCTAGATGCTAAAACCCATGAGAGGAGGGATAGGACAATTTTGGAATCTTCTGAAAAAGTCCCTTTGTAAACCCTAACCCAAGAAGGTTTTCCCCCAGCTAGAAGCCACCCCCTTCCTGCAACCCAGGTCTTCAGACCAAGCTGGCCAGGACTGTTCTGTGTGCCAGGAGGAGGACAAGAGATGCTGACACAGCAGAGCCTGGTTCACAGATCTCGACTTCCAGAGATCTGGGTTCAAATACTGCGTATGACCTTGGGCTATAGTGATATCACCCCTCTGAGCCTAAGATGCCTCATGGATGAAATAAGAACACTAACATCATAAGATTAAGATTACTAACAATAACATATGAAAAGCATCTGGCACAAAGAAAGCACTCAACAAATGTTAGCTTGCTTCTCCTTCCCTCCCTTCTTTCCTTTCTTCCTTCCCCCCAGAAAGTGGCTAGGACGTGGAACTGGGTTATTTTGCATGTTTTGTCCTTAGGTTGGTTTTCTTATACAAATCCGTATCATGTGGCCATCTTGGTTTGCTCTCCTAGCAATTCTGTTGCTGTAAATCCAAGACTGTATTTAGGCTGCTCACACCACTGGAGCAGAAAAACCCAGCTAACTTTGCCAGCTTAGGGACTTTGGGGGACTCATCTTGCATTTTGCCTCCGTGGGGAAAACACCAATCAGCCTTTGGGAAATGGCACCATGGGTCTCCAGCTGATAGGTGGGAGAGCAGTGAAGGGGCAAAGGGAGAGATGGCGAATTCAGCACTTCCCAAGGACTGGTAGTAGGGAAGATAGCGCTCTGGGGGTGCAGGGATGGAGTGTGGGGGCACTGCACAAGTAGGGAGCTCAGCTACTTTACTGGGAACTCCAGGCATGTAAAGGTTCTCTGAGCCTTGGTTTCCTCATCCATAAAAACGGAAGAGAAAATATCTACATCAGTATCTACATTGTAGTGATGATTAAATCAGATACTACATAGGGCAGTATTCCATGAATATTCATTTTTCCTTCCTCCCTTTCTCAGGAAGGAGGCAAAGGCCTCCCAAAAGAAGCAGACACATTTACATGACTGCCTTGTAGAAAATGGACTTTTAAGAGATTTAACTGATGCAGAAAACACCCAGGATTATCACTAGAGTTGGCTGCACCACATAAGCTATTCCCAAAGCACACAGAATGAGCCACATGATGAAACGGAGTTTTCTATGTAGTGGGCTGATGCCTAAAAGGCATCTGAGGAGATCAACAGCCAGTTGCATCTTAGTTTCTTATTCCATGACCAAGAAATGAGTTGGAGGACGGAGGGAGTTAATTTGTGTGTTAGAGAGGCAAGGGCAACCCCACAGCTTGCAAAAAAACAAAAATAGGTGCATTTTATTTAAACAACGGAACAAACATCAGAGAGCATCCCCTGCAAAGCCCCCACCCAAGAGCCAGCTGATGGAATCGGGGCTGCAGGACGCTCTGCCACAACGGCAGCATCTCCAACTGCACAAGACCCCTTGCTGCCAGGGCTGGGCACCAGCCTAGCCCCTTGCCTGCCTGCCTACCTGCCTGCCTGAGGCAGCCTTGGAATCAGGGCAGGGGTGGCATAGGTAGAAAAGACAGATGGAAACAATGCCCATGAATATATCCAACGTGTCCTAGGAGGAAAAAAACCATCATGAGGACCAGAAGCCATCCCAATCTATTTTTGGCCTCCCAGAGAAGTTGTGTTGAGACCTGAGACTCCAGCTGAAATGGCTCCCTGAGGAGCCCCAGGGAGCAGGAGGGGTGCTCCTGAAGACAGCCCCCGAGGAAAACACAGTCCTGCAGAGGGACAGCCCCCAGCACCCTCTGGCAGGGCTCTGGACAGTCAAAAAGAGAAATGGAATGCTCAAGAAAAAAGGCATTTAAAAATTAAGAAAGAAAAGAAATATAAAAAAGAAAGGGTCTGATCTGAGGCTGAGGTATTGGAGATAGATGTGGTCCCAGAGAAACCAGGTCCCAGGGTACACACATGCTGGGGGTCTCTGTCCCGATGAACTAAGAACCATATGCACAACCTTCTTGGGAGCCCCGAGCAGTGCGCTGCAGGGCCAAGGAAACAACCAGCTCCAAAGGGACTCCCTGAGCCTCCGAAGGCAGCTCCTCTAACTAATCTCCCTTCCTCCCAAAGGGCTCCCGTCCCTGATGCCCCACAGCCACACCATCAGCTTGCCATGTCAATGACAGGAGCTCGTTACAAGTCCGCACATTTTAGCCCGAGATAGGTTATATAGTCACAGAATGTGTGGCTTTACTGTTCCACTCAACCCCCTGGTCCCTGGTGGCTCCTGCAAGTCAAAGGGGGCAGAAGGGTGCTTCCTCAGATGGAAGAAGGCAGGCAGCTCCTCAGGCACTTGGTCTGGGTGGAGGAGAGGCTGAGCTGCCCCAAGCCCCTGCTCAGGGCCTCAGAAGCGATACACCTTCACTCTGTTGTGCTCATCGAGGCCCAGCTGCAGGAGGCTCAAAGTAGCTGTTGGCTTGGGTGTTGAAGAGAAGAGAGGTCTGGCCACAAGGTGAAGGAAAACTGCAGTCACTGGGCATAGCCAGGCAAGGGCCATGAAAGGGTCAAAGGCTGAACAGGATCCTCCTCAGCCCTTTAGGGCACAAGCCTGAGCCCCACAGCCCAGCCCGGTTTGGGAACCAAGTAAAAGGATACAACTTGGGGTCATTCTTGACACGTTCCAGCCACCTCCTGTTGGCTTCAATTATGCCCTGAAAGGTGGTGCTGCCCACCTCAGGGACTTGGGAATGGGAGTGCTGTAGGAGCCGGAGCTGCTCACTGGCAAGGAAGAGGAGAGCATGGGGGAGGGGAGAGAGGAGGCGTGGAAGTGCCAGAGGATGTGCAGAGGCCATCACATCTGTCACCTCCTCCCTCTTCCTCTCAGCTAGCAGAGCAGCTTCTCTGCGGTCCCTAGCAATTCAAAGCTTCAAAACATCTGGCCCCTCAGAACAGTTCCCAAACGGGAAGGCGGTGGACACCCTCTGCCCCCTTGCTGGGTGCTACTGATATGAGGCTCTGGGCTCCCACATCTGCCTGCTCCCACCAATCTCATCAGCAAAGCGCTCCCCTCTGTCAACTCGATCCTTGGCCAGCGTCAGCTCTCAAGTTGGCCAAAGGGTTGGTGGGGGGTACGCATTGTTAGGGGCCTGAGGGAGGGAGAGGGGGATATATCTGGCAAGGAATAAGATGAATGGAAAATTAATAACAGGTTTAAATAATTGCCCGTCTGTCTCCTCCACAGGGTGTCCCTCTCACTCCAGATGTTGCTCAGCAGGACTTGGGGAAGAAGGGAGCCACAGGAAGCAAACAAGAGCTCAAGGGCAAAGACAAAGGCCAGACTCCAGAGCTGGAGGAGCTAGAGGGAGGGGCAGGGGCAGGGTCCTACCAGGGGCTGACTCCTCCCCACAGGGGCCAGAAGGCAGCTTCCTCAGGGGGTTGGCTGGGTAAGCCCAGCCCTTCCCCACTGGGACCTTGGCGGTGTGGACTTGACTTCCCTCTGGTTGCGGATGGGCGCCTCAGACCCAGGCAAGTGGGGACAGCTCTGTGGACTAGAGGCCTGCCTGACTTCTTGGGGTGAGACCAGGAGGCCTGCTCCCCTCAGAGGTCTACCCGCCCAGGGAGGCGCAGGGAGCAGCTATGACGTTCCACCCCAACCAGCCCCCAGGGAGGCTCACCTGGCAGACACGTATCCCAGCCTGCTCTCCAGAGGGGCGGGGCTGTTGCTGAGCAGTGGGATGCCAGCTGGAAGAGCGTAGGGGCAGGGCTCAGAAATGGGCAGTGGTCACCACCCTGCTCACCAGCGCCTCTTGCCTCCCCAGAATAAACAATAAAAGGAAAAGTTTCAGTGGCTAGAGGCCAGAGACAGGTGAGAGACAGGAATGGTCCTATTTATTTTATTTTTAAAACTTAATCTACTTTTCAATTTGGGTTAGGGCAGAAAGAAGATATTTTGTTTTCCCTCAAATGCCTGTGTTTCATGGCTTTTCATAATCCTCAGCAGGGCTGAGACCCGGGGAGGCCACCTGGCTCAGAAGCAAGAATTAACCACACAGCCAAGAGGTTCCGAGCAGAACCCTGGAGTCACAGAGACACGGGGTCACAACTGAGTTTGTTATTCTCTCACTGGGTACCCTGGAGCATGCTACTTAACCTCTCTGAAACCCAGTTTCCTCATCTGTAAAATGGGGATAAATAATTACTACCTCAGAGAATAAGAGCTAAATGAAAAAATATATATATAAACTGCTTGGCCCATAACGCATTGCACAAGATGGTAGCTATTAAGATAATGACAACAATGACCTTTTAGGTTCTGCTGAGCTCCAAAATCCATAAGAAAGGCCCCAGTCAGCCAGGCTCCATCTAAACCATCCTGACCCACAGAACTCCTGGCTGCAGGGCCACCTGCAATGTCTCCTTCCCCAGGGACCCACAGGCAGAGTCAATGGACCAATGGACTATGGCAACGTTGGGGGAGGAGAGGTGTGGCAAAGGGATGCAAAAGAGGAAGAGGGAAAAAGGAGCAGGAGAAAGAGGGTAGAAGAAAAGGAAGGAAGAGGAGGAGGAGGCAGGTGGGAAGGCTCCGCCCAGAGTGGGGCTTACATGGAAAATACTTGCGCCACTTCTCCAACAGGAAGTCGTCCACTGTTTGAGCCACAGAGGAGGGGAGCCTGGGCCCCTGCCCTGAATCCCAGGCCCACTGGGTGGACGTGGGTGTGGCAGATGATAAGGCTGAGAACCTGGCCAGGGAGCCGTAGTAGGTGGGGGTGGGGGTGCTTTTGGAGGCCCGGGGAGGGAGCTGGGCTGGCGTGGAGGCGAGGAGCGGCGGCGGCGACTGAGGGTTGAGGCTGTCCAGGATGCTAAGGACGCTGCTCAGCTGGCTGCTGATTTGCCGGAGGGAGTGACTCAGCCCATGGATCTTGCGGGAGGTAAGACCTGGGGTTGAGTCAACTGAAAGAAAAGAGGTGGATGGTGGGAAGGGACTCAAGCTCAGGACCCTGGACCATTCCCAGACACAGCTGTCATGCAGCAACCTACTGGCCACCCCTCCCTGCTTCTCCAAACAGCCCCGTAGCCTTATGAGGGGGTCAGGGATGGCAGGGCTTCTGTGTTCCAGACAGTGCAGGTGAGAAGGTGGGAAACAGGTTGCCAGCGTAAGGCCCTGGGTGACGGGCCCAGGACCCCTGAGAGAAGGAAGGGGAGAGGGCCCTTCCATCACATACAGGCCAGAGCAGCCGAGAGAGAAGAGCCTCCCCAAGGAGGCCCTGGAAGAGAAAGGTCAGCAGGGCCAGCGGTCACACTGTAGAGTGCTCTGCAGCATTCAGAAGGCTTCCCTGACCTTTCAGCCCCGTGTGCTGGCAAACCTAGATGGTCTGATTCCTTCCCAGCATTGACTGAGCACCTGGTCCAGACACCAGCTCACAGAGGCCTCCCTCTGCAGGGAAGGGGGTTCTTCTTCTATTCCCCAAGTTCCTCCCATTCCATGGATACCATGGTCCTCACCCCGCATCTCCCCCACTCACTCCTCTGCTGCCACCACCACTCACAGTGAGGCAGGGAACAAGATTCGGAACTTTCACTGCTCAGGCTGTCCATGTCACTGAGGTCGAAGGTTACCGCCTTCTTGGTGGGGGATCCTCCCAGAGTGCCCTCATCTGAGGCCTGCAGGGTAGAGTTAGCAGTTATGACGGACCTCTCCCACATGCTTTCTACCCTTCTTCTTTCCTTTCTAGGAAGTGGCTAGGACACTGAGCTAGGTTCTTCTGTATGTTTTGTCTTTAAGCTGGTTTTCTTACACAAATCCATCAAACATGGCCATCTCCATTTGTTCTCCTAGCAATTTTGCTGCTACAAATTCAAGGCAGTATGTAGGCTGTTGCCCTTGTGCTGTGTGGGAACTGAGGACTTGGTGAGTAGACTCCTCTGGGGCCCAGAGTTCCACCAGGCACCCTGGGCAAAGCAAATCACACAGGGCTGCCTCACAGAGGGTGGGAGGGAAGCAAGGCTCAGCATATGTCCCAAATGCCTGAGACACAGACAACAGTGCCATCAGGCCCACACAGATCCCCACCACCCTTCCCAGTAAGCTCTCCCTGCAGTGTTACTGCACCTAAGCCTCCCCCACGCTATATCTAAACCTCAGACACCCAGGAGAACGTCCACAAGGTCCCAGGGCAGGCAGGAAAACCTATCGTGTGTGTCCATTCCTGACGCCCTGGTCATACCTCTCCTTAGGGACCAGGGTAGGGTAAGGGCTCGGCCCTCTTCTCAGGCACCTTTAGCAAGAGGGTCCAGGTGTATTCAGGACCATTCAGCACAGGTATCCAAACCCACAGGTGTCTTCAACAAACTCAGAACTGAAGCCACTGCCACCTTCATCAGCCAGTAGACAAGCCTACTGCCCAATCCTGGGCCCTAGAGGCCCAGCTCCCCCGATGCAGGACCAAAGAACTCAACCCAATCCCAAGCACAGAAGAGGAAGGCCAGGGCCCACTGGGCTATGTGGCTGTGGGGCTGCACCTCTTCCCAAAGAGAGGACTCCAGCTGATTCAGTTTCTCCTCTTTCTTCTTCAGGAGGCTGTGGCCTTTCCGCATGGCTGACTTCATCTCATCCAGGTGCCTGGTCTCCTGCAGCCAAGGAGAAAACAGAGGAGAAATGACTACCTACACAGACGCTGGAGTCCCAACCCTGCCATTTGCTGACTGGGTGATCTTGAACAAATTACTATAGTCTGCTTTCTCATCTGGAAAAGAGAACTACGACTTTTCATAGGGTCGTGAGAATTACATGAGAAAGAGTATGTGACTATGTTGCATGCTTAACACCATGCCCACACCTTAAAAACTCTCAAATGGGTACTGTTAACCAAATGGTTATCATTTATTATGGTTATTGTTTTTAGAGATGAGGTCTCACCATCACCCAGGCTGGAGTGCAGTGGTCTGATCACAGCTGATTGCAGCCTCAACCTCCTGGGCTCAGGCACTCCTCCCACCTCAGCCTCCCAAGTAGCTGGGACTACAGATGTGTGCCACCACACCTAGCTATGTTTTTTTTTTTTTTTTTTTGTAGAGACAGAGTTTTGCAATGTTGGCCAGGCTGGTCTCAAAATCAAGTGATCCTCCAGCCTCAGCCTCCCAAAGCACTGGGAATACAGGCATGAGCCACCACATCAGCCGCAAATGGTTATTATCACTGCTCCAATTATCATTACTCTCATCACCACCACCACCATGGTTGAGAGGGGTTAAGCAGGGCAATGACAGGGCCGCAGGCAGCATGTTTATAACCCTGGGAAGCTGCCCCTCTGTCTGTTCCAGCCTCATGCTCTCTGCTGACCCCAAGCCAGTCCTAGGAGCCACTGGGGCCTGAGCCCTTTACCAGTTCTGAACACCATCACATTTCTTTTCTTTTCTTTTAAATAGAGTCTCACTGTGTCACCCATGCTGGAGTCCAGTGGCACAATCTTGGCTCACTGCAACCTCCACCTCCTCCTGGGTTCAAGCAATTCTCCTGCCTCAACCTCCTAAGTAGCTGGGATTACAGGCACGCATCTCCACACCCAGCTAATTATTTTTAGTAGAGACAGGGTTTCGCCATGTTGGTCAGGCTGGTCTCGAACTCCTGACCTCAAGTGATTCACCCACCTCTGCCTCCCAAACGGCTAGGATTACAGGCATGAGCCACCACACCCGGCTGAGCACCATCAGATTTCTAAGGGCCCAGGTGATCCAAGAAAGCTCACCCTACCAGGACCCTCAACTGGTCAAAGATCTGTGATCCCAACTAATAATAATGAAGTATCTGCTTTTTCATTGCAAATTAGGCTATCAGAGAAGCAGGGTGGGTAACTAACTCAAAGCCTTTTGCTAAGTGTGTTCAAAAGATTTTCATGTACGAACGAAGTCTTTAGTGTGACAGAATGGAAAGGCAACGCACTGGGTTTGGAAGTACTAAACATTAGTCATACTCTTCACCAGGAAAATGGGACTATTACTACTGCCTTGCACATTATAAAGGGTTATTGATATGGTTTGGCTCTATGTCTCCACACAAATCTCATCTAGAATTATACTCCCACAATTCCCATGTGTTGTGGGAGGGACCTGGTGGCAGATAATCTGAATCATGGGGGCCATTCCCGCCATACTGTTCTCATGATAGTGAGTAAGTCTCATGAGATCTGATGGGTTTATTGGGGGGTTCTGCTTTTGCTTCTTCCTCATTTTTACTTGCCACCACCATGTGAGAAGTGCCTTTTGCCTCCCGCCATGATTTTGAGGCTTCCCCAGAATCATTTCCCCAGTGGAACTTCAAGTTCAATTAAACCTCTTTTTCTTCCCAGGTTCAGATATGTCTTTATCCACAGCATGAAAACGAATTAATACAGTAAGTTGGTACCAGGAGTGGGGTGTTGCTGAAAAGATACCCCAAATGTGGAAGCGACTTTGGAAATGGGTATCAGGCAGAAGCTGGAACAGTTTGGAGGGCTCAGAAGAAGACAGGAAAATGTGGGAAAGTTTGGAACCTCCTACAGACTTGTTGAAAGGCTTTCACAAAAATGCTGATAGTGATATGAACAACAAGGTCCCGGCTGAGGTGGTCTCAGATGGAGATGAGGAACTTGTTGGGAACTAGAGCAAAGGTGACTCTTGTTATGTTTTAGCAAAGAGACTGGCAGCATTTTGCCCCAGCCCTAGAGATCTGTGGAACTTTGAACTTGAGACAGATGATTTAGTGTCTCTGGCGGAAGAAATTTCTAAGCAGCAAAGCATTCAAAAGGTGACTTGGGTGCTGTTAAAAGCATTTCATTTTAAAAGACAAACAGAGTATAAAAGTCCAGAAAATTTGCAGCCTGATGATGCAGTAGAAAAGAAACACCCTGGAGGGGCTGGGAAGATGGCCAAACACGGACAGCTCCAGTCTGCAGCTCCCAGCGAGATCAGTGCAGAAAGCAGGTATTTCTGCATTTCCAACTGAAGTACCCAGCTCATCTCATTGGGGCTGGTTAGACAGTGGGTGCAGCCCATGGAGGGCGAGCCAAAACAAGGTGGGCGTTGCCTTACCCTGGAAGACAAGGGGTCAGGGAACTCCCTCCCCTAGCCAAGGGAAGACACAAGGGACTGTGCCTTGAGGGACGGTGCATTCCGGCCCAGATACTATGCTTTTCCCACGGTCTTCACAACCCTCAGACCAGGAGATTCCCTCAGGAATCTACACCACCAGGGCGCTAGGTTTCAAGCACAAAACTGGGCAGCCATTTGGGTAGACATCGAGCTAGCTGCAGGAGTTTTTTCATACCCCAGTGGCACCTGGAATGCCAGTGAGACACAACCATTCACTCCCCCGGAAACAGGGCTAAAGCCAGGGAGCCAAGTGGTCTAGTTCCAGATCCCACTCCCACAGAGCCCAGCAAGCTAAGATCCACTGGCTTGAAATTCATGCTGCTAGCACAGCAGTCTGAAGTCGACCTGGGATGCTCGAGCTTGGTCGGGGCGGGGTGTCCGCCATTGCTGAGGCTTGAGTAGGTGGTTTTCCCCTCACAGTGTGAGCAAAGCCACCAGGAAGTTCGAACTGGACTGAGCCCGCCACAGTTCCAGAAAACTGCTGTAGCCAGACTGCCTCTCTAGATTCCTCCTCTCTGGGCAGGCATATCTGAAAGAAAAGCAGCAGCCCTAGGCAGGGGCTTATAGATCAAACTCCCATCTCCCTGGGACAGAGTACATGGAGGAAGGGACAGCTGTGGGTGCAGCTTCAGCAGACTTAAATGTTCCTTCCTGCTGGCTCTGAAGAGAGCAGCAGATCTCCCAGCACAGTACTCAAGCCCTGCTAAGAGACAGACTGCCTCCTCAAGTGGGTCCCTGACCCCTATGCCTCCTGGCTGGGAGACATCGCCTAGCAGGGGTCGACAGACACCTCATACAGGAGAGCTCCAGCTGGCATCTGGTGGGTGCCCCTCTGGGACAAAGCTTCCAGAGGAAGGAAAAGGCAGCCATCTTTGCTGTTCTGCAGCCTCCACTGGTGATATCCAAGCAAATAGGGTCTGGAGTGGACCTCCAGCAAACTCCAGCAGACTTGCAGCAGAGTGGCCTGTTAGAAGGAAAACTAACAAACAGAAAGGAATAGCATCAACATCAACAAAAAGGACATCCACACAAAAACCTCATCTGAAGGTCACCAATATCAAAGACCAAAGGTAGATAAATCCATGAAGATGAGGAAAAACCAGCACAAAAAGCCTGAAAATTCTAAAAACCAGAATGTCTCTTCTCCTCCAAAGGATCACAACTCCTCACCAGCAAGGGAACAAAACTGGATGGAGAATGAGTTTGACGAACTGACAGAAGTAGGCTTCAGAAGGTGGGTAATAACAAACTCCTCTGAACTAAAGGTGCATGTTCTAACTCAATGTAAGAAAGCTAAGAATCTTGTAAAAAGGTTAGAGGAATTGCTAACTAGAATAACCAGTTTAGAGAAGAACATAAATGACTTGATGGAGCTGCAAAACAAGCACGAGAACTTCGTGAAGCATACGCAAGTACAAATAACTGAATCGATCAAGCAGAAGAAAGGATATCAGAGATTGAAGATCAACTTAACGAAATAAAGCATGAAGACAAGATTAGAGAAAAAAGAATGAAAAGGAACAAACAGGCCGGGCACGGTGGCTCACGAGGTCAGGAGATCAAGCCCCCCCCCCCCGGTTCACGCCATTCTCCTGCCTTGGCCTCCCAAAGTGCTGGGATTACAGGCGTGAGCCACTGCGCCCGGCCTCAACATTCTTAAAAGAATTTCAACCCAGAATTTCATATCCAACCAAACTAAGCTTCATAAGCAAAGGAGAAATAAAATCCATACAGACAAGCAAATGCTGAGAGATTTTGTCACCACCAGGCCTGCCTTACAAGAGCTCCTGAAGGAAGCACTAAAAATGGAAAGGAACAACCAGTACCAGCCACTGCAAAAACATACCGAATTGTAAAGACCATTGACACTATGAAGAAACTGCATCAACTAATGGGCAAAATAACCAGCTAGCATCATAGTGACAGGATCAAATTCACACATAACAATATTAGCCTTGAATGTAAACAGGCTAAATGCCCCAATTAAAATACACAGACTGGCAAACTGGGTAAACAGTCAAGACCCACCGGTGTGCTGTATTCAGGAGACCCACCTCATGTGCAAAGACACACATACGCTCAAAATAAAGGGATGGAGGAATATTTACCACGCAAATGGAAAGCAAAAAAAGGCAGGGGTTGCAATCCTAGTCTCTGATAAAACAGACTTTAAACCAACAAAGATAAAAAAAGACAAAGAGGGGCATTACATAATGGTAAAGGGAGAAGAGCTGACTATCCTAACTATATGTGCACCCAGGAGAACCCAGATGCATAAAGCAAGTTTACAGATCTACAAAGAGACTTAGACTCCCATACCCCACTGTCAATATTAGACAGATCAATACGAGACAAATAATTAACAAGGATACTCAGGACTTGAACTCAGCTCCAGACCAAGTGGACCTAACAGACATTCACAGAACTCTCCACTCCAAATCAACAGAATATACATTCTTCTCAGCACCACATAGCACTTATTCTAAAACTGACCACATAATTGGAAGTAAAACACTCCTCAGCAAATGCAAAAGAACAGAAATCATAACAAACAGTCTCTCAGACCACAGTGCAATCAATTAGAACTCAAGATTAAGAAACCTCCACTCCAGGCACGGGTGTCGGTGGCTCACAGCTGTAATCCCAACACTTTGGAGGCCAGCCAGGAGATCACGAGGTCCAGGAGGCGTGAACCAGACCTGACAAACATGGTAAACCAGCCCGTCTCTACCTAAACATAACAAAAATTACTGGGCATGGTGGGCACACACTGTAATACCAGCTACTCAGGAGGCTGAGGCCAGGAGCATCTGCTTGAATATGGGAGGTGGAAGTTTGCAGTGAGGCCCAGATTTGTGCCCACTGCAGCTCCAGCCTGAGCGTGGCACAGCAATACTTCTGTTCAACCAAAAAAAAAAAAAAAAAAAGGAAGTAAGTTATTTGAAACCAAATGAGAAAAACACACCCACGTACCAAGAATCTCTGGGACACAGCTAAAGCAGTGTTTAGAGGGAAATTTATAGCACTAAATGCCCACAGGAGAAAGCAGGAAAGATCTAAAATCGACACCCTAACACCACAATTAAAAGAACTAGAGAAACAAGAGCAAACACATTCAAAAGCTAGCAGAAGGCAAGAAATAACTAAGATCAGAGCAGAACTGAAGGAGATAGAGACACAAAAAAACCCTTCAAAAAATTAATCAATCCAGGAGCTGGTTCTTTGAAAAGATTAACAAAATAGACCGCTATCCAGATTAATAAAGAAGAAAAGAGAGAATAATCAAATAGACACAATAAAAAATAATAAAGGGAATATCACCACTGATCCCACAGAAATACAAACTACCATCAGAGAATACTATACACACCTGTATGCAAATAAGCTAGAAACTCTAGAAGAAATGGATAAATTCCTGGACACACATACCCTCCCGAGACTAAACCAGGAAGAAGTTGAATCCCTGAATAGACCAATAACAAGTTCTGAAATTGAGGCAGTAATTAAAAGCCTACCAATCAAAAAAAGCCCACCAATCAAAAAAAGCCCAGGACGAGACAGATTTAAAGTCAAATTCTACAAGAGGTACAAAGAGGAGCTGGTACCATTCCTTCTGAAACTACTCCAAACAATAGAAAAAGAAGGATTCCTCCCTAACTCATTTTATGAAGCCAGCATCATCCTAATACCAAAAATCTGGCAGAGACACAACAAAAAAAGAAAATTTCAGGCCAATATCCCTGATGAACATCGATGTGAAAATCCTCAATAAAATACTGAATCTAACAACACATCAAAAAGCTTATCCACCACGATCAAGTTGGCTTCATCCCTGGGATGCAAGGCTGGTTCAACATACGTAAATCAATAAACATAATCTATCACATAAACAGAACCAATGACCAAAACACATGATTATCTCAATAGATGCAGAAAAGGCCTTCGATAAAATTCAACACTCCTTCATGCTAAAAACTCTTAATAAACTAGGTACTGATGGAATGTACCTCAAAATAATAAGAGCTATTTATGACAAACCCACAGCCAATACAATACTGAATGGGAAAAAAACTGGAAGCATTCCTTTGAAAACCGGCACAAGATAAGGATGCCCTCTCTCACCACTCCTATTCAACACAGTATTGGAAGTTCTGGCCAGGGAAATCAGGCAAGAGAAAGAAATAAAGGGTATTCGAATAGGAAGAGAGGAAGTCAAATGGTTTCTGTTTGCAGATGACATGACTGTATATTTAGAAAACCTCATCATCTCAGCCCAAAATCTCCTTAAGCTGATCAGCAACTTCGGCAAAGTCTCAGGATACAAAATCAATGCGCAAAAATCACAAGCATTCCTATACACCAATAATAGAGAAACAGAGAGCCAAATCATGAGTGAACTCCCATTCACAATTGCTACAAAGCGAATACCTAGGAATCCAACTTACAAGGGATGTGAAGGACCTCTTCAAGGAGAACTACAAACCACTTCTCAATGTTAAGAGAGGACAAAAACAAATTGAAAAACGTTCCATGCTCATGGATACAAAGAATCAGTATCGTGAAAATGACCATACTGCCCAAAGTAATTTACAGATTCAATGCTATCCCCATCAAGCTACCATTGACCTTCTTCACAGAATTAGAAAAAACTACTTCAAATTTCATATGGAACCAAAAAAGAGCCTGTATAGCCAAGACAATCCTAAGCAAAAAGAACAAAGCTGGAGGCATCATGCTACCTGACTTCAAACTATACTACAAGGCTACAGTAACCAAA